TTTCTCAGTTTGTTTATCAGAGACAGGGAGAGCTGCCCCTCACCCCTTTCTCCCTGGTTCCTGAAGGTAGAATGCCATCCGTTTCCTTACCAGTGGGGAAGACGCACTGAAAGAAGGAAATACACAAAAACTAGCCACTAAGTATTAAATGATGGCCAGTAGAGTAGCCAAGGTGGAGAACTGTAAGTGAAGTGCCTGGGCGGGGGCCAGCCATGCATCGCAGCACTCAGGGTGAAGCTCCAGCCAGGTCACGTCGACTCAGTAGATTTCCCCTGGCTCTGGCTAAAGCGTGAGTCATCCTGCCTAGTGGAGTTGGGGACGCTGGCACAGATGCACTCCATGAAGAGGCCAGTGTGAAGGTGAGCAGGGATGTGAGGAAGGGCACCCTGGCAGGCAAAGTCTGGGTGGCTGGAATGCTGTGACTGGAGCTGGCCCAGGCTGGGGGACTCTGGTGAGCTGACCCCAACATGAGTCAGCAGGACAGTCTGGCTTCTGTAACAGTGGGGAGTGGCTGAGGGGGGCCTACAGCCTAGCAGCTGTGACAATGGGGGCTGGCTGAGTGGGGCTACAGCCTGCCCATGCACCAGAGTCCACGTGTGGGTCCTGAGACCCCACAGCACATCCCTGAGCCCCTGGGACAAAATGGAAATGTCCTGTTCCAGAGCTCCCTGTTTGAGATTTTTCCCCCTCCTCTCCCTCCTCCTCTCCCTCCTCCTCTCCCTCCTCCTCTCCTCTCCCCCCTCCTCCTCTCCCTCCTCTCCCTCCTCCTCTTCTCCCTCCTCCTCTCCCTCCTCTCCCTCTTCCTCTCCCTCCTCCTCTCCCTCCTCTCCTCTCCTCCTCTCCCTCCTCCTCTCCCTCCTCCTCTCCCTCCTCCTCTCCCTTCTCTCCCTCCTCTTCCCTTCTCTCCCTCCTCCTCTCCTCTCCCTCCTCCTCTCCCTCCTCCTCTCCCTACCTGGTCATGTCTGTTCTGGAGTCTCCCAGATGTCCCTGCCTCTGGCTATGCTTTCCCTTTCAGCTGTAATAAACTTTCTCCTCTACCATACCTAGGAGCAGTCATGTCCTTTCCTTTCCTTTTAATTTCTATTGTCCATTCACAGGTCAGAGGACAATTTGCAGGGATTGATTCTCTCTACCAAAGGGGCTCTGGGGATCAAACTTAAGATGGTCAGGCTTGGTGGTCTTATCTGCAGGGCCCTCTTGTCAGTCACATCCAACTTTCTTCTTCTTCTTCTTCTTCTTCTTCTTCTTCTTCTTCTTCTTCTTCTTCTTCTTCTTCTTCCTCTTCTTCCTCTTCCTCTTCTTCTCTTCCTTTCCTCTTCCTCTTCTTCTTCTTCCTCCTCCTCCCCTCCTCTTCCTCTTCTTCCTCCTCCTCATCCTCTTCCTCCTCCACCTCCTCCTCCTCCTCCTCCTTCTTCTTTGTGTTCTGGAGATCTAACTCAAGTCCTCATGTTGAGACAGCTGACTGTCTTCAGAGTATGTGTGCTTATTTTAAAAAGCCAGCCTCCACCTCTCCCTCCTCCTCTCCCTCCTCTCCCTCCTCCTCTCCCTCCTCCTCCTCCCTCCTCCTCTCCCCCCTCCTCTCCCTCCTCTCCCCCCACTCCCTTCCTCTCCCTCCTCCTCTCCCTCCTCCTCTCCCTCCTCCTCTCCCTCCTCCTCTCCCACGTCCTTTATTATGACACATGGTCCAGATATGTGGCCCAGGATGGTCTCAAACTTGCAATCCCCCTGTCTCAAACCCACATACCATCAGTTTCTTGTGTTTGTAATGACATCATCTGGAACTGGCTGGATCGGTCCCAAGGACAGATGCTGTCACTGGATTCTCAGGACCAGGGCTCATGAAATACCAGTGAGTGAATGACAGACTGGCCGCTCTCTA